GATATATAGGGATTTACACTTATGCATTTAGTAGACGCTTATATCCAAAGGTACACATATACATTTGATCAGTTCTTGCTTTCCCTGGGAATTGAACCTCTAACCTTGGCATTGCTAGCACCAAGCTATAGCTACTGTTTGAGCTACAGGAATAATAAAGACAAGCATACATGTTTTGTCCATAATGTTTATGGTTTGTAAATTTGGTTTATTTATATTCATGTATAAATGACAAACATGTTAATATACCTATTGTAGCCTTTCTTTTTTTTTTTACATGGCCCTCTGGGATCTACTCTAAGGTCTAAGGCTTAAAAGCTACATTTGCTGTAAATTCAGTATAAAAATACTTAACACTAAGAAAATAGTAATGATAAAAAATATACACATACAGATGGACAGATATCATCCTGTTTTACTCTATAAACCGTGATCATAATTAGGGTTTCCATCCATATAGCTGTTGAAGAACACCTTGTGATCCTCTGTGCTGAACATGGTGGCTTTGACCACTGGATCCTCGAACATGCATTCAATCCACTTCCTTAACTCAGGAGTGTTGGCCAAACAACTGAAACACGAACAGAGATATGGAACTATTAGGTTTACAAGCAAGTTATCCTTTGGAGAAATACATACAAAAGGCATGGTTGCATTCACAAGAAGTTTACTTGTGAAGACAAGTACTTGTGTGCACAAAGTTCACTGAACCAAAGTGCTTTTCAACTCAGCTGGAACCAGAGCCCTACCTTTACTAATCTCAGTCATTCATCACTGTTTGCATATCTGTTTAACTTAACCTCTATGACTTAGCACATTATTCCTCCTGCTGTCGGGTAAAATGTGTGCGTTTTTATCATACATTCATTATATATTGCATATATGCACTAATAAAAAAAACAAACTTACTGCTTTACGCCCATCATCTCTGCCCTCTCAAACCATGGCCAGATCATGTAGTCAATCATTGTGATTGAATTGCCCCCAAAATATTTGGTCTTCTTTTTTGCCAGACACTGAAAAAAAAAGATATATAAAAGGAAAACAGTTAATAAATTATGATATATTTTCAGAAAGTGTAGGAATTTCAGCCCACCTCATTTAGTTGGGAGACTTTATCTGTAAATTCAACTTCAGCTGCTGAGACGTCTTCTCCTCTTTTCTTGCCCATAGAGATCTTATAGAAGTATGGAATCACCTGAAATGAGGATGAATTTCCATAAATCTATGCATAAATTTACTTAATTCAAAAAAACAAAGAAATTCAAATCATTAATATGATTATACTTCAATAATGCTCCTGAGTGGTTATGGTTTTAATTTCCTGGTTATTGTGGTTTCCTTAACTGATAATAAAAATATGATACCAAGACTTTCAGATTTTTTAGGAACTGTATGGATAAAGAGTACATTTCTATACTCTTATGTCCTGATTACAGTGAGATTTCTGATGGAGAAGCTTAATTAAAATCAGCAGTTCTACTGGCAGATGCTTTATAAAGGTACATGTTTCAAAATGACCAACTGCCTACCTTTGAATAATGATCCAGCAGCATTTTCTGTTGGGCCCTCTCAAACGGGTCGGATGGGAGCAGTTTCTTCTCAGGGTAGGCCTCTTCCAGGTATTCGCAGGTGATTGGTGACTCGTATATCACCTGACCATTTGAGGTTTCCAATACTGGCACTGTCCCTGAAGGATTCTTCTCTAGAAACCAATCAGGCTTATCCTTCAAATTGATGTTGATAATTTCATGTCTATGTAAAAGGAATATAAAATCAAAATTGGTTAGTGGATAGATATTTAAAAGAGTGATTTTCCTCACAACCAAAACAGAAAATGTTAATTAAGAAACTCAAATCTAATTTACGCTCTAAATATTATACGTACACATTAGGCACACCTCAACACTCCATCTAACCCAATACTGCACAGCAGGTCAACATTAGCACTCACTTAACTCCCTTGGCAGTGAGCACCAGTCTTGCTCTCTGAGCAAATGGACAAAATCTCATGCTGTAGAGCCGAATAAGACCATTTGGCACTGGTCCAGGAGCAGGACATGCTGTTACAAAAGTGAAACACATGGGACACAATAATGTAAATATGTACATGCATATGAAAAAGTTATTTACATAATATGCATGGAATTTCATCAGTAAAATAATGTGGGCCACTAAGTCCAGGTTCTTAACTGTTTCTGAATTAAATTTTAAGAGCTAATAATCTCTTTTATCAGAAATACATTTTTAACAATGATTACGCAACGTCATGGCTTGACAACATCTGGGAGAGTTTTCTGCAACCGGGTTGGTAATGAAACTCTTGTGGATAATGAAACTAGTTGAACATCTATGCAGATTAACGTGAATTCATATCTGGATGTTTTTATGAATGCTTTTCCATTTACAAGTTATAGATCAAACAATGTAAGCTTTGTGAGCGAGTCTAATTTCCTTGCTTTCTCTTACCTTTTCCTTGGCATTTTGGAGATGGAGCCATTATAGTGATCAGAGCGTTCACCTAAATAAAACATTCGATGGTGACTACACAAACTTGGGCGTTTTATAGATAAGAATTTAAAGATGTTACATAATGCGCACGGAGGCAAGAAAGGCAAAATACTTTCAAGGCTATCATAGATGCTTAATATGTTTTACTAAAAGCAAACAAAAATTCATTCAAGGTTTGCTTACCTGTTGAACCTGCTGACCTGACTGAAGTTAACGTTAGTTGAAAAGTTGAGTTTTTATGGAAGAATGGTGTGGCAGACGATAATGACTCCTCCTACATACTTACACCCATGTAACTTTCAAAATAAAACACTTCTTCAAAACTAGTTCACTACGTTTAATAAACGATTCTTAGTTACTTTTCATCATGCTAAGCATTTGAAGCGTAGGCTATACCAATTTTTCAACTATTTAACGACTATAAATGATGAACTGCTCAGAGGTCTGTTATTATCTCCATATGTGCTGATTTACTGTACATTTCTCTGATTTTGCCGTGTCATGTTTCCTGTACAATCAACTATGATCATACCGGACCAAAATAGTAACATCAATGTTGCCGAACACATATTCCCCATATCACTGCGCGACTCTTACAACGGATCGTTTTTTTTGGTTGTTTGCATAGTAGTTCTGCCAGGGACTTTATCTTCTAGCGGAAGGATACAACTAAACAAATCTGCTTAATAAAATAACGATTTAAAAACAGTGTGTGTTCTTAATACTTTAAATATTTATTATACAGTTAATATTAATATTTGTTAACAGTCCCAGTTAAAACACCCCGCAAATACACAGCAAAAACCCGACCAACATAGCCTCCAAAAGCAAACATAAATGAAAATTTGAAAAGTGAATTAAAGTTGTTACTGTTTGTGAAATGAAATGTGGTTTCATACTATTTACTTTGTTTTCGTTGTAAAGTAATTTTGTTATATTATTGTTTTGATCTGTTTGCTATTTGCAGTGTTAATATTTTTAATAGTATGATACTGGTAAATTGTTACAAAACCAGTTGGGGACAGTTTGACCTGCAAACATCACAATAATTATTAATTATAATAATAGTGTATGGCCATGACTAATATAGTTTGTATGGTTTTGCAGACCTAAGAGTTGACAGCTGATTTCTGGATTGTGTAATGACTTTTTATCTTATCTGTATTTAACAAGTCAAGTACAACATCTTATTAAATCATCTATATAATCTATTCATTTGTTTCCACATAATGCTCCGTTTATGTTAGTTAGTGTGGGCGTCTTGCAAAGTCATGCAAAGGTTTCTTTTGCAGTTCTACAGCTGCAGAATGAGTCAGCTTGCCAATTTGTCTGTATGTAGACCTTTCTGGAGAAAAAAAGGGGGGAAGGGGTCACTTGGTCATAGGTTATGACATTGACTTCTCAAAGCTTCTGTTGTGCAAAGTCACACTTAACCCCTTTAACTGCATTTTATAATCAACTTTGACTGCTGCAGAAAAAACCCCTCAGATGTTTAGTTTCTTCTTTTGAACACGGAAGAAAATATTTTGAACAATATTAGTAACCAAATAGTTGATGGTAGCCATTGACTATCAGAGGTTTTTTTTCATACTATTTAAGTCTGTTACACACATACTTCAAAAGATCTCCTTCTGCTTTAACAGAAGAAAGAAACTCATATAGGTTTAGAACACCTCGAGGGTGAGTTCTATTATGTTATTTGCTTCGACTCTGGTATGGTCGGCTGAGGCAGACAGATTTAGGTGGTAATCTTTCCTGCATGTATGTTAAACCTCAGTGGCACCTGCTTCTGGTAAGATTATGGATCACATATTCTGAGAACTTGGTGTATGATGGAGACTCATTAGAGAAGTTCAATTCAATTCAATTAAAATTTATTTGTATAGCGCTTTTCACAATACACATTGTTTCAAAGCAGCTTTACAGAAAATGCAATGTGTCTACATTACAATTTAGAGTGACCTGTTATCAGAAGTGAATGTGCCCCATTAATGTTCATTTCACAAATGAACAGTTCAAGACAATAGAATTATACAGTTAGCTAACATGAATTAATTTCAGGCAGAAGCTCATTAAAGCGATTTTTACAAGTGTGATCATAGAGATAAAAATTTGGCAGCTGTGCATATCGATTCAAGTGGACACCTAATGGATTAGGGCTATTAGGGTCATTAATGCAAACACTGCAGGTTAAATTCCAGAGAGGTGTGATAATGAGAACCTTAACCCTTGAGCAGGGGACAGCACCTGCAGTTGGCATAGTGTATTTATATTCCAGTATAATAACTACAGCAGTTATACTGGAAAATCTCCTTACAGGCCATCAAAGAATGAAGCTGGTCTGAAATTGGAATAGTCAAAAATAAGATTATATATAATGTGTAGAATATTTCATCTATTGAATGAACTCCAGAAAGTTTTTTGTTTCATTATTATTTAAATTTATTTCATGCATATAATTCATCTGATACAAAAAAAATAAAAATTGGTAAAAAAAAAAAAAAATCACTCAGGCACTATAACCCTACCAGTTATATAAGATTTTAAGATCAAAGGTTTAGATTTATGTTTTTGATATACAAACCACAAGTCAAAGGGACATAAAGAATGATGTATCAGGCATGAAATCCTCTTTTTATATTAATCAGGATCACAGTATAAAAGATGGACGGATATTAACATACCATCTGAAATGTTTTCTGTTAAAACAGACGTGTGTTTTACCAGAGAACAATGATTTATCCTATAAACCATAATCATAATCGGGGGTTCCTTCCATGTAGGATTTGTAGAACACCTTGTAGGTGTCTGTGCTGAACATTGTGGCTTGTACAGCAGGATCCTCCAGCATGTGTTCAGTCCACTTCTTCAGCTGAGGAGTGCCGTCCAAGCAGCTGGAAATTATGAAGAAAGAGTGTTAATATTCAAAGAAATCATTCGCACGAGTCTAATTTAATTTGATTAAATTTTTGTAATCCACTAACTGATTTTGAGTGTCTTACTTCTTTAGTTTAAACAATTTAAATGTAATACTAATTTTTTGTGTAAAATATTTTTACTGAGAAAAATATCTTTAAATTAAATTAATGTCTTATTTTTCCATTTTGTAAAATGCCTGCATTTGTTTACTTTGCTGTCATAACCATCATCTATTATAGTCTCTCTCTCTCTCTCTCTCTCTATTTCTCACTTAATATATGTGTAGGGTGACCAGACGTCCCGTTTTTCCCGGGACAGTCCCGTATTTCAGATCTATTTTTAGTGTCCCGACTTATTTTGAAAAAATCATGTTTTGTCCCGTATTTCCAAATTTCTTTACGACTGGGTGATCAGAGCAAGTAGTAGAAGTGTTATTTAGTCTAGTGTTATATATTTATAACACTATTATAAATATAGTATATATTATAGTGTTATATATTTAATTTGTATCTATTGTATTTGTCTTATGGTTTGTAATTTGCTTCTTTATTTTTATATAATAAATAATTATTTACGTGTGGTGTGTGTGTGTGTGTGTGTATATATATATATATATATGTGTGTGTAATTTTAGATATCATGAAATAAAATTTCTCATATCGTGGTTATATATCACCCCCCCCCACACACACACACACACCGTCCCGTCCCGTATTGAACCATGAGAAATCTGGTCACCCTATAAATGTGATAAAACCAAGATAAAAACATACTGCTTCAGGTCCATCATCTCCATCCTTTCATACCATGGCCACATCATGTAGTCAATCATTGTTATTGAATCTCCTCCAAAAAACTTGGTCTTCTTGTTGACAAGGGTCTGACAAACATAGAGAAAGCAGGAGTTTATACAGGAAAAGTATCTCCTTACATCCGTCTAACATCAGAAATCCAATATTGGATCTTTATTCCACTCAATTATAATATTATCGGTATTTCAACCAACCTCATTAAATTGGGCGAGTTTCTCTTTAAGTTCTGCTTCAAATGCAGACACATCTTCTCCTTTTGTCTTGCCAACAGGGATCTTATAGAAGTAGGGAGTCACCTGAAAAGAACATCCATTCATATTGATGAAAACGTTCAATTCATTCAATCTAGCAAGACTACATATATATATATATATATATAATATGGAAGTATTGGAAGTGAGTTGGGAAATACCTTTGAGAAATGCTCCAACAGCATTTTCTGTTGGGCTCTCTCAAACGGGTCAGATGGGAGCAGTTTTTTCTCAGGATAGACCTCATCCAGGTATTCGCAGGTGATTGGTGACTCGTATATCACCTGACCACTCGGGGTCTCCAGCGTTGGCACTAAACCAAGAGGATTTTTCTCCAAAAACCAATCAGGCTTATTCTTCAAATTGATGTTGACAATGTCGTGTCTAGGACAAAATTATTCATAGGGGCTTTTCTTTTCAGTCAAAGCAGAAACAATGTTTTCCAAACATTTTTAAAATGATTTTATTGATGCAATGTCATGGACACCCTCAGCACAACAGAAAACCTTCATACCCAACTTCTCCTCAAATAACTCACTAATGCCAATTAGCGTTTATACTCACTTAATTCTCTTGGCATTGAGCACCAATCTTGTCCGTTGGGCAAAAGGGCAGAATCTCATGCTGTAAAGCCGTATATGGTCCTTTGGCACAGGGCTAGGAGCAGGGCTTCCTGTTGCACAATTTAAAAAAAAAACATGTTAGACCTGATCTGCCCATTTCTGCAATGACATCAATGTATAGTAATGTCACTTGCATGTTTCTAATGATCCAAAAAGTCTTTTCAAATATAAGCAGGTTTTTAGAGTTGACAAGAGCATTCATTGCACATGATGTTGTCATTATGCATTACATTTTCATATTAAAATTATTAGTCTCTACTGACTAAAAGTTAATAGTCTATTGTGTGGAATATATACAGACAAAACATGCATATTTTAAAAGTTACACTTGTTCAAAACGTAAAGCATAACAGGAATGACTCCAATGACTGCAATCTGTGTCAGTGCTGATTCCAGGAGCGCATGACGCAGCACTTGTATGGAATCCATGGTCATAAATATCACTGTTAATATGCAGTGGTGATTTAAAGTGCAGTGTCATACTGTCATCAGCACTAAACACACCTGGGCCCATAACTGTTATATCACTTGTCAAGTGTTCACACTTTGTACAAGTTTGTACAAATTCTTGTGAACAATGAAATAACAATGACACTCCCCGTTTCCTAACATAACAAAGACAGATCTGCACATGTTTAAAGACGTCACTTAAGATGATCGAGTAAATGTTGTGTAAATAGTAGACAGTAATCACACAGTCCTGCTCAGTCACGGAATCTACAATAAACTAAAAACCAAAAAAAACATGCTGCTCTAAATTGCATCGTTTTGGTGTCTCATAATGATTTCTTACCTTTTCCAAGACATTTCTGAGATGCTGCCATTATTTTAAGGTGGAGGAGCGGTGTGGTGGTGGACGAATAGACCTGCAAAGATCAAAAGTCACCTTCCATTTAAATACTACTGTTGTTTTTTTTTATTAAGTTAGCTGGACGCAACAGCTTGCAGTTAAGTAGGAAGTTAGGTAACCACTGTCATTTCATAAATTCAATCATTTAATATTTCACCGTATCGAACATAAAGAAATAAAATACATAAAGAATACCGAAAAGATATATTAACTGAAAGGTGCACATAATATGATACTTACCTGTCGAACTGTACGACTTGCCACACAACTTGGTCTATTTATTGGAAGGTAGCATGTATACAGTCTATGATCCAGTTATTAAACTTCAAAACACTTCGTTGTTTCAAAATAAAAGTCCTCAATAAACACAACCACTATATACTGGTAAAATATAATTAAAAGCTCAGCGAGCACTTAACGAAATACCTTACACTTACATTTTACCTTTTCTCGACTAAATGTAAACTTTATGATGATCATTTAGGTGTGCACAGCATTTAAGGTTTTATTTCGTAATTACACATTTTCTAAATGTAACATTTTCATTTTTAAATGTGAGAATTTCCCTATTACAGTGGCACTAAAAGCATTTAAAATCGTCAAATGTAATACATTTGTATACCGACTTGTCATTTTTAACACCTATTTACATGATGAATGGCTTTTTTTTACATGTATTTTCATACCGATTTGTGGTTGGTCTAATCATAACACTGCAGTCAATATTTTGACACTTGGCTTGCACTGCCATTTGCTTCAGGACATGAAAATGATGTTACCCATCCTGTGCTGTGTGAGATCTTTTGAGGAAAATTGTGCATCTTAAAATAAACAAATTGTAACATTTCACAAAACATTTTCAAAAACTTCTTTCTAGTTGCAATGAATTACTAGTGAAGACCTCCATCTGATTATTGTGGTTAGAAGAAAGTATTTTCACACCACACAGATAACATAATGGATATCACTTTAATTACTTTATTTGTCATGTATAGAGTAAACACGTTAAAACCTAAGTGTTCTTTCATAAGATGCTTTTAACCCATGTCTGAAATATCCTCAGATAAAAATCCAACAAAACAAACAAAATATAATAATATGCAAAATCTTATACAAGTTTGTGAAGCACTCTTGTGTGATGCTGATCATCTCTGGACAAACCCATGGTTGAAAATGTGACTTAAAAAGGGAATAACATGACTGAACTGATGAAATTAATTGATTATAATTTGCCCACTGATGAATGATCACATTCATTCTTAGCTGCTATTACCTGATATGAAGATGTCTGTTGCCATCACCATCACTGCCAAATCCAAAATAAAAAAAAAGGTTGGTATATGTTTGACCAAACGCATTTTCATGTGACCTATGACTAAAGAGTTACGCTTTTATCATCCTCAACCCTGTTCTACCTTTCAATCTGTCTGTTGTAAACCTGTACTGGGGGCCTCACAGAATTCTTAATATTTCAAAAAGGGAAGTTTAAGTGCATTAGTTGAACATGACCAATTTCATTGCCAGACATCACAACTTTCTGAACATTCACAGTGAGCCTTTAAAGTGCAGATGCTGAATTACCATATTTAATAATAATAATAAAAAAAAAAAACTCGACCACCTAAAATAAAAGTACAATCAGCCCATACAGTGAACTATGAAGTATGTAAATAAATAAATTTCTGGAGTTACATAGCCTGAATTTTGTTTGCATGTTCTTGGTTCTGTGTCAATTAAAAATGCATGCTCAAAATATATAGAGTTGCTATGCGACTACAAAATGTGATTTTAAATGAATTCAGATACTGACAAAGAAGTTACTTTATAATTAACAAATCTTACAAGTCAACACAACCCTCACCCAGTGATGATGAATAAATGTATTTAAAATAATGACTTGTTACTTTGTTACAGAGTTCACCAAAACTCTACAAACGCTGTGATTTAGCAACCAGGGATTCATATTTAGTCCAGCTCCAGTCTTGAGCCTGTGTAAAAGAAAAAAAGCAGCGAGTGTTACTGCAGCAAATATGTGCAGTCATGATACAGAATTTCTATGAATTTCATAATAAACCTACAATAAGTGCTTACCATGATGCTCTCTGATTTCTCTTCAGTGGTTTCTTGCAGTAAACTGGTAAGCTGACTCAAATAGCGTTGGTTCTCCTCGAGTAAATGATTGACTGAATCTCTGAAAACAAACAGCAGCATGAAAAACAAACACTCCTGATTACTTTGTTGATCAACTCAGCCACAGTGTTTTGAAACCTAGGAGGTCACTACTAGTAGGCCGCTCACTAAGTCTTGGAAGAGAAATTTACCCCTCGTCCGGCACTTGCAGGGACATGGGGAGGCGAGAGGAGCACTGGGCTTGAGTCTGGTTCCATGTTGACAGCGAGGAGGGCATCTCTCCACTCTGACTCACAGAGCTTCGTGTGGTGTTCTGTGCCTAAACACAAACACATTCGATTACAATTGTTGCTTAAAGGGTTAGATCACCCCAAAATGAAAATTCTGTCATTAATTACTCACCCTCATGTTGTTCCAAACCCGTAAGACCTTCGTTCATCTTCGGAACATAAATTAAGATATTTTTGATGAAATGTGAGAGCTCTCAGACCCTGCATAGACAGCAACGCAACTGTAATGTTCCCAGGTCCAGAAATCGAAATAAATACATCGGTAAAACATTCTGTGACATCAGTGGCTCAACTTCAGTTTTGCGAAGCTACAAGAATACTTTTGAGGACAAAGAAAACAAAAATAACAATTTATTCAACAATTCTTCTCCCCCGAGTTACGTCTTCCGCCATTTTGGAGGGTACCCAAGAGCGTAATCGACGTAATCAGTGTTGTTTACGTTCGAGAGAGAAAGCGCGCGCATGAACGTAATCTGCGTAATCAGCGTTGTTTACGCTTAGGGAAAAGCGTGCGTATGTGTTGTGATACTCTCTAAAATGGCGGAAGACGTAACTCGGGGGAGAAGAATTGCTGAATTAATTATGTTATTATTGTTTTCTTTGTGCTCAAAAAGTATTCTCGTAGCTTTGCAAAACCGAAGTTGAGCCACTGATGTAACATGGACTGTTTTACCGATGTATTTACTACATTTCCGGACCTGGGAACATTACAGTTGCGTTGCTGTCTATGCAGGGTCTGAGAGCTCTCACATTTCATCAAAAATATCTTAATTTGTGTTCCGAAGATGAATGAAGGTCTTACGGGTTTGGAACGACAGGAGGGTGAGTAATTAATGACAGAATTTTCATTTTTGGGTGAACTATCCCTTTAAGTTAAAAAAAATATATATATATAGAGCCATTTTAGAAATGCTGTGAATGTAGCTCAACCAATCAGAATTTAAAGTCAGAAGTATTCATTTGATGGTATTAGTTTTGCTTTGAGTTTTTAACTTGTTACTTAACTTCCAACAATTTTTACTGTAATGCCAATGTATCATTTATTTGTTATGAATAATTTTACACTATCGTTCAAAAGTTTAGGGTTAAAAATATTTTTTTTTAAATCTCATGTTCACCAAGGCTGCATTTATTTGATACAAAAATGCAGTAAAAAAGCAATATTGTGAAATATTTTCTATAATATTAGCTTTCTATTTTAATTTATTTTAAAATGTAATTTATTCTTGTGATAACTAAGCCGAATTTGCAGCAGCCATTACTCCAGTCTTCGGTGTCACATGATCCTTCAGAAATCATTCTATTGTGCTGATTTGGTGCCCAAGAAACATTTCTTATTATTATTATTAATGTTGAAAACAGCTGTGCTGCTTCATATTTTTGTGGAAATCATAATACATTTTTCAGGATTCTTCGATAAATAAAAAGTTCAAAAGAGCAGCATTTATTTTGAAATAGAAATCTTCTGTAACTACAGGTGCATCTCAATAAATTAGAATGTCGTGGAAAAGTTCATTTATTTCAGTAATTCAACTCACTGTCCCTTTTGATCAACTTAATGCATCCTTAAAAAAGTCTGACTCTTTTGAGCAGTAGTTTAAGTAATTTGGTCTTTTTGTTCATGTCCATCAAGTTCCAAATAGATGGAATTATCAGATAATGGTCATAACGCCCACCCCTAATACACACTAAACTATAACGATGGAAAGTCCATGATTATGTGATATTATGAGCATATCTGGCCCTGAGACATTAGAAGCATGTGACTCACACAGGCAATCTTCAGTAAGTGCCAGAACTCTCTCTGTCTCTTGATCTGCATCTGCATGACAGTGCTGTCTCCCTCCTTAATGCTCTCCAGTGTCCTCTCAATTTTAGGGAAGAGGTCGATGATCTTCTGCTTACTCAGAAGGATTTTACTGCAAATAAGACACAACAGTGATTCTAGATTTCATCCATAAAATGCAATCTAACATTCATTTATTAACTAGTCGCAGGTTGAACAGTAAAACTTGAATCATTACAATCCTCTTTTATTGTGAATTGGATGGTTTCAAAAGCTGTTTACCTGAGGTGTGCATATAGATCCCTCAGTACCCGGTCCTGATTCTGGACAGTCTGTACAATAACCTTCACCATCTCAGAACTGTCACTGTAGCCGTGCTGGGGGTCTGGCACTAGGGGAAATGAAGGACACTATATACTGACCCCCGTAACTCATTTAACAGTAAGAATATGTAAGGAAATTTTGCCTACACAGATAAATAATCCAAGTACATGGAATGAGACATGGGGCAAAATTCATTAACTTATGAGCAGTGTTGGGTAAGTTACTCAAAAAAAGTAATTGATTACAAATTACTTATTACTACTTGAAAATTGTAATTTGATTACATTACTGATTACTACATGTAAAAAGTAATCAGATTACTAATTACTTTACTTTCAAGTTACTTTGAAAACATATCAAACCTAAAAAAAAAAATACACTTCAAAGTGAAAATTGTAGTTCTTTCAGTAATTTAATATTGACTGAAAAATATTACAAAGGTATGAAAACAGCAACTTGACAAAGATTTAATCCATTTCTAAAACTTAACATTCTTAGTACAAAACCTGCCTAAGCAATTAATTAATTGACGAGTGAGCATTAGTAAAGAAAACCCGCTGTTAACAATGTTGAAGATGAACAACTACTGCTCAGGCTTTTAGACATGAAAACATATCACATAAACCTTAACAGTGGTAACTCTGCTTCAGTGTTACTTTAACACTCTGTAGATTGGGACAATATGTACTCTGTATGTGGACGTTTACAGGTTCACGCGTCTCACGTGGATGATTACCATATGAATTGCACGCGCTGCGCGTGGGCGTGATGACATTACAGATAATGAACTCAGACGGGAAAGACTGGACCTCGCGTTGGTTTCATATGGATTACTTCATCAGAGAAAAGTTTTAGATAAGACTTACTTCATTTAAAGGGGTGGCTGATTAACGTTAGTTAGTGTCTAATGTTGCTGTCTGAGCATAAACAGTATCTGCAAAGTTATGAAGCTGAAAGTTTAATGCAAACGGAGATATCATCTTTTAAAATTCTGGCAGTTTAATGCCTACAACAACGGCTGGTAGGGACTACAACAAGTTACTTCCTGGGTTCATGACATCACAAACCCAGATAAACCCCACCCTCGGGAAAAGGCAGCAA